CACCGTCACATACTGAATGTCTCGAGATCACTGATGTTTCAAGCCAGCCTTCCCATCAAATTCTGGGGAGAGTGCGTTCTTGCAGCAGCACATGTAATCAACAGAACGCCATCTAGCTTGCTACATGGACAAACACCGTACGAGTGCCTGTATGGCAAGGCTGCATCGTATGACGATATCAAAGTTTTTGGTTGCCTGTGTTTTGCTCATAAGAATTCTCGTGACAAGGAAAAATTCAAAGAAAGAAGCAGAAAGTGCGTCTTCGTGGGATATCCATTTGGGAAACGAGGCTGGAGACTGTATGACTTGGAGAGTCATGAGTTCTTTACATCACGTGATGTAGTGTTTAATGAGTGTTCATTTCCTTTCGAGACGGAGGCAAACGACTCAACTTCGTCAGTCTAAGAGCTTTTGGTTATGGAGTTGAGGGGGAGTGATGAAGATCTTCCGGTTGAGGAGTTAGGAAGGAGCGATGAAGAGGTTGCAACTTCTAGGGAATCAGTGACTGAGACAGATGTTGTGACACCGGTTGATGATGTTGAGAGTAATATGATTGCGCAAGAGGAACAGCTAGGGAGAGGACATCGCATCTCAAAGCCCTTTGTCAAGCTCAGAGATTATGTTACATACAACGCTCAGTGTCTTGATAAACATAACACCACTCCCGTTTCACCATCAACCGCTCCATCAAGGTACTCAACGGTCCAAGGTACATCGTCTTATACCATTTCTGCTTATGTCACCGATGCAGTGTTCTCTGAGAAACATCAAGTGTTCCTTGCAGCTATAGCTTCAGAGAAAGAGCAGCGGAATTTCAAAGAAGCTATGTTAGACCCACGGTTTAGAGAAGCGATGGCAACAAAAGTAGTGGCTCTTGAAGAACAAAGGACATGGGATATGACGAGCTTGCCTAAAGGGAAGCAAGCGCTGGAATGTATGTGGATCTATAAGTACAAGTTCAATGTTGATGGAACAGTGGAAAGACCCAAAGCAAGACTAGTGGTGTGTGGAAACAGACAAGTCGAAGGAGAAGATTACGATGAGACATTTGCGCCGGTGGCAAAGTTAACTACAGTGAGAACATTGTTGGAAGTTGCGGCTGCCAAGAACTGGGAAGTTCACCAGATGGACGCACACAATGCATTCTTGCACGGAGACTTGGAGGAGGAAGTGTACATGAAAATGCCTCCTGGGTTTCAGACGGCAGGAGAAGGGAAGGTGTTTCGCCTGAGAAAGTCACTCTACGGACTGAAACAGGCTCCGCGATGCTGGTTCGCGAAGCTGACGAGTGCGTTGAAGAAGTTTGGTTTTAAGCAGTCCTACTCTGACTACTCACTCTTCAGTTACATCAAGGGTGACAAATTTCTGAGAGTTCTAGTTTATGTGGACGACTTAATCATTTCCGGCAATTACTTGAAGATGGTCGTAAAGTTCAAAGAGTACTTGAGCAATTGCTTCAAGATGGAAGACTTGGGAAAAGTTAAGTATTTTCTTGGTATTGAGATCGCAAGAGGACTACAAGGGATGTTCTTGACTCAGAGGAAGTATGCTTTAGACATTGTGGCTGAGGCAGGCTTGCTTGGATGTAAACCCGTGTTGACGCCAATGGAACAGAACCATAAGCTTCTGTCAGACAAGGGACCATTTTATAAGAATCCAGAGCGGCTTCGACGGTTCGTCGGTAAACTTGTTCATCTTACCATTACGAGGCCAGAATTGAGTTATGCAGTACACGTACTCCCACAGGTGATGCAACATCCACGAGAAGCCCACTGGGATGCAATAGTTCGAGTAATTCGGTATCTAAAAGGGTGTCCTGGACAAGGCATTATGCTGAGAGCTGTAAGTGATCTGCGTCTTCGTGTGTTCTGTGATGCAGATTGGGCGGCTTGCCCAAAGTCTCGACGCTTTATGTCCTCTTTCATCGTGTTGTTAGGTAACTCTCCTATCTCCTGGAAGACAAAGACACATGATACGGTCTCTCACTCCTCAGCTGAAGCAGAGTACATGTCCATAGCGGTGGCACTACGTGAGCTTAAGTGGCTCAAGCGACTTCTGAGAGATTGGGGGTTGAACACTCTGCACCTATGGAGATGTTCTGTGACAGCAAGTCAGCATTGTATATCGCAGCCAACCCTGTGTTCCATGAGCGAACGAAACACATTGAGGCTGACTGTCACAGTGTTAGAGATGCGGTTCAAGACAAGAGTATTGTGACACGGCATGTGCGTACGACGGAGAAACTAGCAGACATCATGACTAAGGCTTTGGGGGCGCCTGCGTTTCTGTATCTGCTGTCCAAGTTGGGTGTTCGAAACCTCCATGCACCAACTTGAGGGGGAGTGTTAGCCGATGGTTACATCGGTTTATGGTTACATCGGTATGTCCGGTTACATCGAGACTTGGGGAGTCAGTTACATCGGAGATATTGTGATATTAATGAGTAGATATCGATAAGGGAAGATCTAGTGTGTTGTGATCTCACTATAACAAGTATATATGTAGTCTCCACTCCTGAATACAACTCAGAACATTCTCAACTTCTTCTTCCTTAGTTTACAAATGCTCAGGTGCATCAATACTCCCTTTTCTACTGTTAAAACCAATACCAGGTGACCCAAAAGTAATCCTACGATAGATTTCATATTGATTTTTCAAAGTATCAAGTCTGTTTTTGATTTTGTTCTAAGTGATCTTAACTGGAAACTATTTTTAAAAAAAAAAAAAATCTTTGAGAATGTTTTGTTTTCCCTACTCACTCAAGTTTTTGCCTTTAGAATTTCCATCTTATTTTTCCAGCGTTATAAGTTCTAATAACAAACGAGTCATCTCATCTGACCATTGGATTTTCTATTCAAAGACCAGTTGAAACATATATCCAACTACAAAACATACACATATATATGGATCATATACTTGCGATTCAGAGAATTTAAATAACAAAGCATATCATAAATCAAAAATAAAGCTATAGTGGAAAAAGTAATATTCCACTTACTTTGGTTTCTTGACTTTCTTCTTGAGTGAAAGCCATGATGTCAGTAGATAGAAACTAGATTAGGTTTAGCATGAATGGTATATTGTCAAATATGTTATATATAATGATGACTGCAAATATTGTAGATTAGTTTATGTGTAATTAGTTAGGATATAGGAAATCTAAATCTAATTTAAAATTTAATATAAAAACAACATTGCAAACGTTTGCGGGAAGAAGCTTTTAATTTTGAGCGGTACAAAGCGGTATAAAATGGTTTTTATGATTGTTTTTAAACACCGTCAGCTTCAATCAATCGCAAAAGTTGCGTTTGCGGATGGTAGCAGAGAAAGCAGTCTAACCCTTAATCTCAGTGATTCTAATACTATCAATCATATATTCACTATATATTTTTGTTGTTACTCCAGTTAGATATGAAGCTCAAACAATAATCTACCTAAGATTGACTCATCTAACTTGTGAGTGTGTTACCGTTGACTTCCACATTCAATATTATAAATGAAATTTGTATATCCTAACCAGACCGAAAAGGCTCTTGGAATATCCAGCTCACTTAAGTTATAAAGTCACACACACACACACACAATAGAACATGTCTTTGAAAGGTTCGAAGAAAAACAAATAGGAAAACGGTTGAGGGAAAGGTAGAATGTTGTTAGAACGTCATTAATCAATTTATGGTATAACCCAAAAAAAAAGAGTATAACTCTAGTCCGATGGTCCATTATACACTTGTCTCTTACGATTAATGTTGGTCCTATCTATACTATTACATAAGAAGTAAATCTGCTTGTTGTCAACTTCTCCTTGATTTTAGGTAAATTTATTTATTTACTTTATTTAAGTAACTTGATATACAATTTATTGTTTAATAAAAACAAATTTATATTAATAATATTATATTTTCGAAAATATGTTAATTATTTTGTATTAAATTGTTAGCTTAAAAATATATTTTCTATTATAAAATTCAAGTGAATTTACTGATTGATTTGTAACTTCTCCATGATTTTTGTAATTTTACTTATTTGTTATATTTTTAAGAATTTTATGAATAATTTATCATATAATAAAACAAATTTCTATTAATAATATTATACTTTTAGAAAATAAGATAATTCTTATGTATTATATTGTTATCTTTAAAATATATTTTTTATCATAGAAATTAAAAAATAAGTTAAATATTAAAAGTTAAATATAAAGAAAGCAATGCTGATTTATCAACTTCTCCATGGTTTTATATTTTGCTTATTTATGATATTTTAATAATTTCATATATATTATTAAATAATAAAACGAATGTATACTAATAATACTAGATTAAAAAAAATAAGATAAATCTTATGTATTAGATTGTTATCTTGAACATATATTTTCTATTAGAAACTTTAAGTGAATTATCTGATTTGTAATTTCTCCACCATTTAGATAATTTTGACTATTTGTCATATTTTTAATAATTCATATAAAATTTATTATAAAATAAAAAAGAATTTCTACTAAAAACTATATTTTGAGAAAATAAGATATTTCTTATGTATTATATTGTTATCTTGAAAATATATTTTTATTATAGAAATAAAAAATTAAGATAGAAAAACTTATAATTAAAATAAATTAAAGCAACACATTTGTAAAAATATATTTTTAAAATATTTTGTTATGTGAGTGTTGTCATTTATAATTAATTTTAAAACATAAATCATAACTTATTATATTGATTTGAATTAATAAAATATAAACTAATAATAAATTGTACGAAAATTATGCCCGCATGTACGGGCAAAATACCTAATTATTAGATGAAGTAAGAGAGAGATTGTTTCTCTTTTTTTTATCCACCCAAAATTAAATTATTTGTTTTTTCCCGCTTAGTATTAATTAGCCTCACTTCTCCTCAACAATTTATATTTCTCTTTAACGTACAGTTGAGAGAGGGAAATGGGCGCATTAATAGCAGCTTCACTTACCAATTATCTCGTGGTGGTGGGAGATTAATATGACACAAGAAGACGAAAAGCTCATCTCCATTCTTCAGTTTCTCTCTCTGTCTCCCTACTGTGCCGTCGTTGTGGTGGATGTGGAACTCGACGGAGAACACATTCTCGCGTTCGACTTCGTTGAAAGACAAAGTGGAGGACGAAGAAAAGCTTCGATGGGTGGCTTAGTAGCGTCTACCGACTTACTCTCGTGTCCGTTGCGGCATTTTCAGGGATGAGATCGGTGAGTCTAAAGAGATTAGAATTGGTAACCTTGAAGCTAGCGACCAACGTCTTCTCCTCGATCGTCTTCATGGCCAACCCTGAAATTTCGGGGACATGAAACAAAATAGATAACGGGGACCAGTCTACAACATCACAAAAAATAACAGAAACAAACTTGTAAAAATACTTTCAAATACAAAGTACTAATAAGACACAAGTTTTCTCACAGAAAAAATAACAATTGTCTACATCTTTTGAAACAAATTTATAGTGGGCTGTATATGATTATTAAAATTATATATATATATATAATTTAATTGGTTTTTTATTTTTTAGGGGCTATAAAATTGGGGGTCTGTTTCAAATATTATAATATTTTGTTATGTGAGTGTTGTAAATATTTTAATATTCTAATCCAAATTGTATGTCCAATGGTGTTCTCCATTTTGAGATTCTTAGCAATAAAAAAATATTTACTTTTTAAAAATGTGAAATTATTTTTTTTATTTATTGAGTTATTAAATATAAAAGATACAATAATTTTTAATTTTCATCACCAAATTTGTTTCAAATATCGAAGATTCCGACGAAATCAACAACTCTCCGAGCTTCGTCTTCTTCTTCTTCTCCGGGAGAGAGTTGCCACGTCAACAAGGATTCAATGAATTTAATCCTTAACTAAGGATTCAATGAATTTAATCCTTAACTAAGGATTCATCCATAGCTTATTCCCATGTTATATTATTAGTTTAATGGTAATAGCTAAGGATTACATGTTAAGGATTCATTATAATCATCCATTGCTCATGCTCTTAGTACGAAGCTGTGTGTGTGTGTGGAGTGCCATTATGCCTTTAGTTTGACATAAAAGCAAACTGCATAAACAGATATGCTAGCAGAGCTAGCAAGAAGGGAAAAGCTTACAGGAATAGTGCATGATGAAGATCTTGATATATTTATAATGAAGGTAATCAGTGTTTTTCTAATCAAAATCTAGTTCATTTTTTTCCAGGATTTAATCATCATTTGATTCTAATTAGTTTTTCAAACTCTCTAGTCTTTAGCTCTTGGAGGACAAGAGACAAGTCTCATCGGGGAGTACATTATGAAGGTATCCTCCAGACCCTTTGACTAACACTAGTAGACAGTTTATAACTACACTACATCTGAAGATGTGATGGACTTTTTCCTATAGTTTCTTCAGTCTCTTTCTGGAATTCTAGTACATCCAATAAAGATTTTAGGGTTGGACACGTGTTCTGACACATTGGTGGGAGATGAGATGATTAAAGGAATCTCAGGGGGGCAGAAGAAGCGGCTCACAACCGGTGTGACTGTGTTCATTTTTTTGTTCATATTTGAAGATTTTGATAGTAGATAGATTACAAACTGAGTGGGATTTGAATACACAGGGGAACTGTTAGTAGTTCCAGCAAGAGTCGTTTTCATGGATGAAATATCGAATGGTTTAGATAGTCCCACGACTCATCATAATTATCATGTATATGAGGCATACAACTCACGTGCTGGAAGGAACCACAGTCATTTCTTTACTCCAACCTTCTCCCGTGACTTACGAGTTATTCGACGATGTAATTCTTATGTCCGAGGGACAGATTATTTACCAGGGGCCTCGTGACGAGGTTCTTGACTTCTTTTCATCCATGGGATTTAGCTGCCCTGAGAGAAAAAATGTGGCAGATTTCTTGCAAGAGGTAAAGTTAAAGAACTTGAAGTAGAGACTGATATTGCTGTTTTAAAAGAGAAAAAAAAGAGAGAATCTAAATAAGTTCCTATTAATAGGTTACTTCGAAGAAAAATCAGCAGTAGTACTGGTCAGTCTCTTTTCGACCTTACAGCTATGTACCGCCTGGAAAGTTTGCTGAAGCTTTTCGTTCTTATCCAACTGGTAAGAAGGTTGCAAAGAAACTCGATGTTCAATTTGATAAACGGTTCAATCATTCAGCCGCGTTATCTACATCCCAATACGGTGTTAAGAGGAGTGAACTTCTCAACATCAACTTCTCCTGGCAGAAGCAACTGATGAAGAAGAATGCATTTATTTATGTTTTCAAGTTTGTTCAGGTTTGTCTCCATGTTGTTGATAAACTTAAGTACCTTTTTTTTTAACTCATTCACTCCACATACTATGCATTTGCAGCTTCTTTTAGTTGCCATGATTACAATGACTGTCTTTTGCCGGACAACAATGCATCACAACACTATTGATGATGGCAACATATATCTTGGGTCGCTCTACTTCTCCATGGTCATCATTCTCTTTAATGGATTCACATAGGTTCCGATGCTAGTAGCCAAGCTTCCGGTCCTCTATAAACATAGAGACTTGCATTTTTACCCGAGCTGGGCTTATACATAATACATTACCTTCTCGGCTGTTGAGTGTTCCTACTTCAATAATAGATTCTGCCACATGGGTAGCAGTTACATATTATACAATAGAATACGATCCACAGTTCTCGAGGTAAATAGATTCTAGGAAAAGATGAAACAGATAAGGATTTGACTGCTTTAATCAAAAATAGTTAACTATGTCCTCTGTTCTTCAGGTTTCTATAGAAGTTTTTGCTGAAATTCCTTCTGCATCAGATGTCATTGAGTCTTTTCCGGGTGATGGGTTCTTTAGGGCGAGATATGATAGTTGCCAATACGTTTGGATCCTTTGCAATGCTTATGGTCATGACTCTTGGAGGATTTATAATTTCCAGAGGTGTCTTCATACATTCTAGGAGTTCTTAATCTTTCTCTTCGACCACATGAATATTCATTTTTTTTTGTTTGATTACTCAGATAGCATACCCAACTGGTGGACTTAAGGTTACTGGAATTCTCTAAACCCTAAACCCAAGCCCACCACCCCAACTAATTTCGGCCCAGTCCCAAGGCCCATCCGAATATACCCAAGGTAGTGACTATATAAACCTATTTCCTTACCTTGTTTTCTCAGAAACTTCAAGCAAGAAAAAAAAAACTATAGAGAAAGGGAGAGAGAGCTAAGGAGATCAATGGTGCTTGCTTGCAGTTGATAGGTCGCCGGAATCAGTCGCCAGATCCACCACGTCCAGAGTTAACATCCAGCCCGTCACCTCCAGTAACCGCCCTAGGTAACCATTGGAAACCACCACCTTTTCGAGTTAGTTTTGATCCGTTTAGTAAATCGTCCATAACTTCCTAACCGTTGAGAATCTCGTGCATGCAAGGCCACCATCGTGTTCTACTTGTCGAGACAAAGCAGTAGACCCTAACCACGCCACGATCCGACCTCAGACGAACCCTGACGCGCCCGTCGAAGTTCAGCCTCCATACGCGCGTAAAACCCACGCACCACCACAGCCTCGCCAGAGCTGCCGCAGCCGTCCGCCGCCGGGAAGCCGCCGCCGCCACACCTCCGCCGTCGGGAAGCCGCCGCCGCCACACCTCCGCCGCCGGTAACCGTCGGTAAGCTACCGTCTTTCTTGCCGGAGCCGGTGACTCGCAGGCGACTCGGTTAACTCGGCCGAGTTGACTCGGCGAGTCAACCGTTGACTCGGTCAATCGATTAGGTCTGGTCAGATTTCGTTATTGTTGGTTAGGATTAAACCGGCGGTTAAAATCAATTAGAAATCGCTTAGGGTTAAAACGGTTAATTAAATTAATTGATTTTGGTTAGGACTAAACCGGATTGAAATCGATTAGGTTTTGGTTCAATTGAGTTTGAAATCGGTTAAGGTCAAACCGATTGGTTAAGTCAAATTGATTTCTGGTCAAGGGTTGACTGGGTTGATTTTGACCTGCGAGTTGACTTTTTGACCAATTCGCCCGAAACTTGTTTTAAACCGTTCGAAGGTCATTCTTCAAGATATCACTTCTTCAAGTTGCTAAGGTGAGGGTCTACTTCCGAACGTTTTGTACGCGACTTAGAAATTTAAATAAATATAATTTATTTCTATTGTGTTCCGTCTGCGTGAAATTGAGTCTGTCATTGCTTGTTTAGTTATTTAGGTTCTCTGCTTAAACCAGAATTAGGGTGCTAGATGGTTCAACATTGGTTGCTTCGCTTAATGTAAATTAGAGACAGACTTCTGTATGTCAGATTGTATGTGGGGATTACGGACGGCTTCAGTCGACCGGTCGGGTCGTAGTCTAGTGCGGTCGATAAATCGTCTTCGGGCGGTGTTACTGGGCACTATCCCAGCGTTGTAGTCCCGCAAGCGGTTAACGGGCAGCGAGTGCGCGACTCGCTAAGACCACTGTTTGTTTGCTTGGGTACTTTAGGTACCGTGTCTGTACATATTAGATTTAATTTATATTTATTTGGAGTGCTATGTCTGGGTCTACGGACTTCGGGGTAGCATCCCATACCTCACTGAGCGACTCCCCTGTTGCTCACCCCTCTTTCTTTCCCTTTCAGGTGAGACCGATTAGCAGGAGTGATCATATCGGATCGGTGCTATTGGGCTTTTGGGATTCTATCGTATTCTATCTTAATTTATCGTATTTTATCGTTTCTGGGCTTATAAACCTTTGGACTTTTATCGCATATGTTATTTCGTATTTCAGACTTTTGGGTTATGTTGTTGATGTTGTTACGGATGTTGTGTATCGAGCCTTGGGCCGACTTATGTATTGGACTTTTATGTAAGACAAAATGTGTTGACTTTTAAGTACTATTATTAAGTTTGATGTTTTCAGTGATTATTAATTAATTATATTATTTTGAGAGAATCGGGTGTTACAATTTTTGGTATCAGAGCGTGGTTCCGTCCCGGCTCCGACCCGGGATGGCGATTCGTGGAGACTTCGGTTTTAATCAAATTTTGATGATTTTTCAAAATGTTTTGGGAATTTGGGGTATTTTTCAAAGTAAAATCAATAGCACCATTCGGTCCGGTATCACTTCTTTATCCCCTTGATTTTGTATTCGATAGAAGTTAACAAATTTGTTCCCCTTTCAAATGTCGAAGAGATCGAGAGTTGTTCGTACTCAGACTACTAGAGCTGCTAGAGAGGCAGGAGATGATGATGTTCAGCTCGCAGTTCCGCAGCCTGCACCTCCACCGATTGATCATGACGCTTTGAGACAGATGGTGCAGGATGCAGCCAGGCAGGCCGCTCAAGAGGCTGCCAGAGAAGCAGCACATGAGGTTGCTTGACAGATGGCTGCAGTTCATCAGGGCCCTTAGGTTCAGGTCCATCAGGGTCCGCAGATTCAGGTGCAGGAGGTTCCACCGGTTCAGGTTATGCCAGCTCAGGTTCTGCCAGTTCAGGTTCCACCGGTTCGGGTTCAGCATGATCATTAGGTTCCCTTTCCTCAGGTTCCATTGCAGCAGGCTCCAGCTCAGCAGTTTGTTCAGGGTATCCACGTTCCACCACCGCCGTCGCCTCAGTTTCACCCATGCTACGATGATAGGTCTTTCAGGCTGACGAGGCAGATGAAAGACATGGACATGGAGAATTTCAGTGGAGCGACGGATCCTATAGAGGTGCATAATTGGAAGCTAAGTCTGGAACGTAAGTTGGAGATTCTCGATTGCCTACCGGAGTTCTCACTTATATTGGCGATGCAGTATTTGCGTGGAGATGCACTAGTTTGGTGGGATGGAGTACGGTTGAGCCATGGAGCAGAGAGGCTTACTTTTGCAGATTTTATTCCGGAGTTTGATAAGAAGTACTTCCCAAAGGAATCTTTGGACAAGATGAAGAGTGACTTCGAGCATGTCAGCCAGGGTAGCTTGACCATCAGAGAGTATGAGTTTAAGTTCAACCGACTTCGTAGATTTGCGGGAAGTGGCATTACAGAGGAGGACTTGATCCGTAAGTTTTTGGTTGGGATGCGGATAGAGATTCGCAACAGGTGCCGTGTTGTCACATATCACAGATTGGGAGATTTGGTGGAGAAAGCAGCTGAGCAGGAGGCAGGTTTAGCAGAGGAGCAGAAACTTTGTAGAGCAACTCAGACTAAGTTTGGAAAGGTCCCAGAGTCCCGTAGGAGTGCTGGAAACCAGTCGGGACCACCGAGATGCCCTCGCTGCCGCTGCTCCCACACAGGATCCGGCCCGAAGAGGTAATCCTCCCGCGGTCAGAAATTAATCGAGCTTAACTCGGCTAATCGCGAGGATTATCCGAGTTAAGGATGCTTAGGCGAAGTACTCACCTTAGCGGGTCGACCAAGGCCCAGTTAGCGGAAAGCCCTCCGAACACGCGACCAGATCTCTAGGTCAAGGAGGTGCTGCTATAAAAGGAAGAGATAAGGCAACAAAAAGGGATCCGTAATCACTTTTACCCACAAGGCGGTTATAATTAGGGTTTTCACTCTTGTACTTTCTTTCCGACTTGTACGGCACGGCTAAGCTCTCCGAGAGACTCTGCCTCGCCTCTCCTTTCCTGATTTGTAACCAAACTCTTTCATCAATAAAACTACTCTCCCACTCATAAAAAGTAATAATGCCTTTGAAATAACCCACAGACGAGTCCAGTCACTAACTTACTAAAAAGACCGAACTCGATTCGAATAGTTGGGCCCACCGTAGGGCATAACAAAGTAGCGTCAACACAAGGATAAGTCCGAGTAACGATTCAACCTCCAGCGACGAGGGAGATGCTATAGCACCGACCTCAGGCGCCGCCGTACCACTCACTCCGACCTTCGTCGATTCCGTCATGGAACGCCTACACCTACCCCTACTCCGGCTAACCAGCCCATCATGCCGACTGGACCCCCAGACGACTCTGCACAACTGGGAAACGGTCTAGATCTGCAAACTATCCAGGAAACCACCGCTCTCAATCAAGCTCTCCTTGATATCAACTCGAAAATTCACGGAGTCACGACCTCCGCTCCGCTCATCGAAAGCGTCCTCGCGGACACCCTCTGGACTCCGTTCACTAACAAGATAACCAACGTAAGAGTCCGCAAGATGGACAAGATCCACTTGCCGACTTACGACGGTCTCTCGGACCCAACGGCCCACATCACGTCCTTCAACATCGCGATGCGGCGACAGAACTTCTCCGACGAAGAACGAGATGCTGGCTACTGCCAACTCTTCATCGAGAGTGTAACCGGTGTGGCCCTCACGCGGTTTACCGGCCTCCCGGAAAACTCCGTTGAAAGTTTTCACGACCTATCATCCGTGTTCTTAAAAAACTACATAATGTTCATGCGCGAGGAAGCTACTGCGTCTGACCTCTGGAACCTCTCCCAAGAACAAGGACAAAGCCTTCGCAGCTTCATGGAAAAATTTAAGGGGATTGTGTCCAAAGTCAAAGTCCCGGACAGCATAGCTGTCGACGCCCTCATGAACACCTTGTACGTGCATTCCAAGTTCCGAGACGACCTCTATCGTCACCCCGACCAAATCCATCTTTAATGCCATTGCTCAGTCTAATAACTTCATCCGTATGGAGGAAGATACCAAGGCAATCATCAGCAAGCAGAACACAACGAAGCAAGCGTCGTCCAAGAGCAGCGACACCCGTCCAGAGCTGCGACAGCACGCCCCGAGTGACAAAGCGAACCCAAAGAAAAGCTTCGTCTACATGGTTGATGTGAGGGGTAAAACTCACTTTCTAATTTAGGTTAGGTTTAGATTGGGGAAAAGACAATCGTGGGCTGAATCCTGTTAGAACTTAAAGAATGAATACGATTGTATTGATGAATAAGGGTTACAAAGATGACTCTGATGAATACAAAGAAAATAGCTGAATTATTTGCGAGCAACAATATATGTGAAAATTGATTGAAAATGAATGACCCCTTTCTTCTTCGTCTCTCTATTCTTTAAATAGCCCTAGGTCACGTTTAACTTCTCCCGATGAACCTCCGAGATCGCCTCCGTAAGTTGTGGGATTTGCAA